TTGGTGTTTAAAATATTTTTCTGTCACATTTATACTTTTTTATTTATACGTAGATTAATCGATGTATATGTACAGTCGGTGCCCTCACTGGGGTATTCAGTATTTGTTATAAATACTATACAAATAGTGGATGCTTAAGTGGCACCGACTGTACAAACTCGCATCTTTTTTCGGTTTCATAATCATACTCCCATAATTGAGATACCAATTCGTGATGCTGGTACAAAACTATCGATAATTATCTAGCAAATTGTGATTATTCAATGTTATTGATAATTAGATAGAAGTCAATACATCACTAAAATAAGTAAACATAAAGAAGGATGGCGACATCCTGTGTATTTTGTGACCCAGTATTTAACAAAGGTTATTTAATTATAGCACGAGAATACTGTGAATAATAAGCTTTTTGATAATGATAAAATATTTAAGAGTCGTCGTCGATTACGACTTCACTGCAGTCAACTTTAATATTTTCCTCGATTCCTTTAAAAAATAGACTACAGCAAACTAGTCTTGGCTTATTTGGAAGATACTAAAATGAATCGATGTACGTACATATGTGACACTGGCAAAATAACAGCCCTGTAGACCGTCAAGTTTTATAGCAACCATGTTGAGTCGGCGCCATTTTAGCACGAAATAGGTCTATTTATTATTTTGTTCATCTCTGTAAATATTGTGATTGGCGAATTTTTTTATGTTTCTTTCGCATGTTGTGTTTGTTTGTAAAATATTTGTTAATATGTAGGTATTTGTGCTGTATACATGTTATATATATGGTGCAGTGGAAATTCGATGTCATTGAGTTACTATCATGTAGGAAATTGACTTTTTTTGTTCAATACTTTCTCTAATTAAATCAATTTAATAAAAAAAATGTGATTACTCAATGTTTTTGATAATTAGATCGAGCTAGAGATGGGTTTTTGCCCGATAAATATCCGTCAAAGCATAAATATCCAATAAATATCCGTTTTTACTGAGTATTTATCTTAAAACATGGTTAATTATTTTTTGTATTTTTTATAATAAAACTCATTAAAATTCATTTTTTACGAAATAATTACCTATACGATTACTTCTCATTTTGACATTTTTTAAGTAACAATACTGTTTTAAAACCCATGTTCTTCGAGTCGATAACATCTCACTAACTGCACGAACATGCTCTTGTAATCTAACGTTCAAAAGCGAGCATTACAGGCGGTGAGGGAGGTGAGCCGAGCATTCGCTGCATAACATTGGGTAGCCTCGTTCACCGGAAACATTCGTCTGTAATGTAACAACCTGTTCATATTGTAAGGCTGCAACTCCACCATATATGGCGGAAATGTTCAAGTCTTTACTTAAATTAGGTGCCTGCGAGTGCCCGCGAGTGCCTTTGAGCGCCAGCGAGTGCCTTTCAATGCTTTTGAGTGTCATTGAGTGCCAGCGATTACCCTTGGCACTCGCGGGCTTTCAAAGGCACGCGCTGGCACTCAAAGGCACACGCGGGCACTCAAACGCACTCAAAAGTATTCTAGAACACTCGCGGGCTCTAAAAACACTCAAAGGCACTCAAACGCACTCAAAGACACTCAAGACACTTCAACGCACTCAAAGACACTCCTGGCTCTCACGGGCTCTCAAAGGCACTCGCGGGCACTCAAAGGCACTCGCGGGCACTCCTGGCCTCCGCGGGCTCTCAGAGGCAGTCGCACGGGCGCCTTGCTACCTCGCAAATTTCTGGTGGAATCGCAGCCTAATCGAATTTTGAATGTTACATATACGAAGCTGAACAAATGTACAAAAATGGACCAATTTAGTAACTTGAAAAAAAATTCTATACAAAATGTTAGACAGCTGATTAATGGCTGAATTAGTGGAGACAATTTTTTTTAACAAACTACGCATTTCAATCATAGAACCGATATATGATGATATCTATTACTCCGTGGGTTTATACTATATTGGCTTTTAGTCTTGAGTTTTCAACTTTACTTTCACTTCGATTGCGAGAAAAAAAATTTCAATTGTTTGCGCGTCACAACAAAATCACGGACCAAAATTCTAGTATTCGCAGTATTTTTTTCCAACCAGACACAGGCACAAAAACCGCAACAAAATGCCACGATTAACTGTCTTTGGCAATCATGAGCGTCTTTCGTACGATTTAAGTGCTACGTCGCGTCACTAAAATGGTCCATTCCCTAAACAAGCGCAATAACGCTGGAAAATAATGTGGCGCCACTGCCTATGCGAAACAAGCACGGAACTAAAACCAAGCATGGTTTCGTAATGAAAATGATCCACACACAGTGCACTTTTTTTTAACTGAATTTCCACAGCGCAGCCATCTCTGTAAAACTTGAGGTTTATTTAGATACTTTGATGAAATAATACAAAGTAACATTTGTAATTATTTTTAAGTGTTGTTTTGGTTGTAAAAATATTGTTTCACTCTTTAAGGATTAAATGATGCCCTTTATTTCGCGCCACATAAAGCTATGGTGACGTACTTTTAAAACAAGAGAAGTGAGAACTATTTTAAGGGTCGTTTAAATGTGAAAAAATCAAAAAAATGCACGATTTTTATATCTTTAAATTGTGTGCATGTACCAAAGTATTATCAACGTTATTTCCCTTAAACAGCCCATTTAATAACACGAGCTCGTAAAATGTGAGTCTGCTGCTTATATTTTATATCTTAATGGCAATTTTCGGAAATACATAATCTTCGGTTGCTCTTTTTGTTTACATGTTTTGAATCCGCCCATGAATGACTTGCAAGAGAATTTTATTAACAAATAATTAGATATATAAACTAAAATATATATATAATATAATAACTATCATCATCATTAGCTTATCGCAGTCCACTGCTGGACATAGGCGCGTGCGCCAATTCGCCCGATCCCACTAAATAAACATATTTACCATTGACTTACAAATAAATGGACGACGGGTCTAATACAAAAACCACGAAAAAAATGTCCCAAGTCAACCTATTCGAAATTTAAATTGTAATGTCATCGCAGTATCGCGCTGTCAGTAGAACAAATGAAGACTAAAGCGGAGTGTCGCGCTCTGTATACGATTTTAGCGCCTTACAAGTGCGGACACTTTTTAGCGCGGACCCGACGTCCATATAATTGTAAGTCAATGATATTTACCCATAATATGAATACAGGTTTGACAGTGTCAGTTACACTTTGACAGTGTCAGTTCTTTCTTTTCATAATATATCACAAATTAATTTATTTCTTTCTATCCTCTAAGTTAAATTCCGAGTATTATGATGCCGACAATGTTGGGAGGTTAATAGTAAAATAAAATGTTGTCTACATCGTATTAGTTTGAATACTACAGGGGAAATGTTAGCTAACAAGACCAACACGACTAACACGTTCGCATATGAATGACTGTGTCGTCATGATAGTCCTAATCCTAGAGCCACAGACGCCATATAGTTTTGGTACTGCTCGAGATACTGCTGTATAGATCTATATAGGTCTCGCGCTTGTTGTCGCTCTCTAGTCGCGCCCTATTGCGCTAGCCCTATTGGTAAAACATTTCTTCCTTATAAACTCCTTAACTGAATAAATAACTTATTCGACGTGTTTAGCGAAATTGAGCTATTAACATATTCTAGGATCAGCGAAACGAGACCTACAACCCCTTCTAATCGGTTTTTTAATATCATAATTACTTTCAATTTTATTGATAGTGATAATAAAAGTATAAGAACCAATATCTCAAAAGTTACCGAAATGCAAATGTGTTACTTATGACTACAGAAAAATTTCATATAAAGGAATTTTTCCTGAATTTTATTTATTGGAATTAATATTGATTTTTTTAGATATTTTATAAAGTTTTATTTAGCGTGAATTATAAGTTAGAGTAAAACGAGATATAAAATAATTGCACAACAGCAAAAACAAATCGCAGGTATAGGTAGTCCTGGATCATGGAAAACTTTCCATTTTGAAACAATCGTTTTTCCGAAAAATAAATATTATCCGGATATTTTTCCTGTACATTTTCACATTTGACGTTGACACCAGCAGGCTTAGCATGAGCCCGAAGACAAAAGTTATCTCTGTTTCTGGAACTGTCAATTTTCTCGAGATTTTCTAAGCCTGCTGTCAAAAGTTGCATTTACTGAACGAAAACGATGGCTTTTTTTCGAAAAAGGTTTTTTTCGCTGTTGTGAAATCATTTTATTTCGTTTTATCTCGTTTTACTATAAGTGGCTCTTAGCTGAACAAGTTTATTAATTAGTTCACGCTAAATTTCAAAAGATATTTCTATACGTAGAACATAATATGAGCCTTTTAAATTATATTTTTCCAATTATTCGGAATTTTTTCCGAAAAAATTTCCACTATTTGAAATTTTTCGGAAAATTACCCATCAAAAACCTTTATCTAAATTGCCCCATCGTTTTCGTTTAGTATCTTCAACTTTTGACAGTTGTCAACTGAAAAATCTGGAAAAATATACAAAGAATATAGGAAAAAATATTTCTTTTTCTGAAAATTGTGAATTTTTCAAAATGGGAATTTTTCCATGTTCCAACACTGTCTTAATCTAAAGACGCAGACGCATTGACTTACAAATAAATGGACGACGGGTCTAATACAAAAACCACGAAAAAAATGTCCCAAGTCAACCTATTCGAAATTTAAATTGTAATGTCATCGCAATATCGCGCTGTCAGTCGAACAAATAAAGACTAAAGCGGAGTTTGGCGCTCTGTATACGATTTTAGCGCCTTACAAGTGCGGACACTTTTTAGCGCGGACCCGACGTCCATATAATTGTAAGTCAATGCGCAGACGCCATCTAATCTTGCTGATTATTTATAACGACTGGTAAAACTTTTATTCCTGTTTCATAGTTTCAATTCGCAAAGTGCCAAAGCCATAACAAATTTTAAAACCATACCGTCTGTCGTATTGTCAAAAAGTTCCGGCAAAGTTTGTTGTGATTACAGATAAAAATACATTAAGATAATCACCCGCCTTATCAAAACTATTAGTGTTCTCTTACACAATACACATTCTCATTAGTTTCCACTATGGTTCGTGTTGTTTCGAAAACTTTTGGTAAGTTTACGCTATAACTTTTATTGCTTACTCAAATTATGATTTAATAAACTACATTATCTACGTACTCCTTAGTAATTTTGTTGATATAAAAGCTAACCTAACCTACAAAATATTGAAGAGACAATATTGGAATTATTTGGCTTTGAATTGGGTATAAAAATGTTATATTATTTTGTCAAGTTGACGGTAAGTAATAAACTGATAATAATTCATACTGTAGGTTCTGACCTACAATATAATACTAGATGCGCCATGAAAAAGTTAGTTTTAGGCTTAACAGCTCTAAACATTACAAGTTATAATTGTTGAGTACATTGCCTATAGAAAATAACTTCCTATTTACCTACTAACAAGGTCAAAACCTTAACCTCATTGTTGTAAGTAGTTACTAACAATAATGACTAAACCACCCCAGATAATTCATGTTGCATTGGACTGGCATTCACTTTCTTTTGTTACTGCACAGAGTTAACGCTCTACGTAGAGATCTATTAAAAAGATATTATATTTTGACCGAAAGTAAAATCTGATGAATTATTAAAGTCATGGAACAACAAGTTGTTGTTTATGATGTTAATAATATAGTCCTGTGAGGTTGTTGGTATATTACACATCACCATGTATATGATTGTTTTTATTGCATTGTACCCAAGAATAATAACCATTTAAAAGAACATGTTATTATTGGTAAATGTCGTGCCTCAGATGAAGGAAGCCTCGTTATCAGAGATTGGAATTAGACAGAGTATATTTAACTAAACTTCAAGGAAATTACAATGTATAGATTAACTTCTTTTGACTGATAGTGCCCGCCACTCACTGATGTGATGGGCGGAGCTGAGTATTGTGTAGTGTGCCTAAAATCGTGGCTGCTTTTGGATAAGTTTGTGAAGTCATATCTCAATATTTTAGTACTGGGTGATACTAAAGTAAAAAAGGATGTATGTTATAGTTTCATCAACGACCACAATATTAAAATTTGGCTAGTGAAAAGAAAATCACCCTGTATAAATAATTCATGTTTTTTTGTCTTTCAAATGTGGTAGCGCCGCCTGGAGTGCGTCAACGTCCCCAATTGTTTCCGAGACCTGTGGATTATGAACATGCTTGTTTGCTATTTACAGATGAATCTATTATAAAAAATGTCTATGTACACAAAAACGCTGTAGACGCTCAGGTGCAGGCAATAATTGCCAATAATCCAGTGTATAAACCGAAAACATTGGCCAGCTGGTTGGTGAAGACTGTTATGGTCATTGACCTCACCACACTTGCGGGTGATGACACTAGGTCAAACGTTACAAGACTATGTGTAAAGGTAAAAATTTAAAGACCCTTTCTAGCTATAACAGTGAAACACTGTAAAACACTATATGGTTGGGGAGGGTGTACCGTCTCCATTTAGGTCTGATAAGGAACTTTAGAAACAATCTTTTTGTAATAGTCTGGGTATTTTGGGTTGTAGAATTTGAAGTGTTTTTCTGACAACTGCTAGCTTACCTTCATTATATATTTTCCTTTAGTGCTACAGCAAGAGATATCATCTTTCATTTAAGTTTTACTTGCTTACCTTCATTATAAATTTTCCTTTATCACTACAGCAAGAGATATCATCTTTCATTTCATTTTTACTTCACATGATTTGTTTCTTGAGTACAATTTCTAAAATAAATACTATGTTTCAGGCAGCAAATCCTCTGTCACCTGAAGTTTTACAAAAGCTGGGACTACAAAAAGGCAAAGTGAGAACTGCTGCAGTATGTGTCTACCCCAGCAGAGTTGCAGATGCACATGGTGTCATTCAGCGAATGGGCGTTGTGAAGGAAATTCAAATTGCTTCAGGTTAGTGATGTTGGTGTTAAGAAGAGACGCTTCTGACTCAAGTTCTCATAAGGCTTTGGATAAAACAGTCTAACATATGGGCACAAGCGTCTTGCTGTTATCCTGGCAAAGTATCTTGCAAGTAATTTGCTATCATGTTCTCGTTCTGTGAAATGCGCGTGAAATAGTCAAAGTAGTAGAAAAAGTCTAATCTTCTTGGCACAACAAATACAAACGATATTCCGTCCAATTTGCCACCTGGCTAGTACTTAGAGCATGGACTAATAACTCAAGATGACTGGTAATTGCGATACAAGATGGCGTAGTCATTAGTCATTATATTTGTTTTAATTTGTTGTTTTACATTGACAAGCTGCAATTTATCAAAGCTACTCAAATTTCTAGTGACAACAAACAAATCTACCACTACTAGATGGCGCTTATTGCACAGATTTTTATGGATACTGCCGGTTATTTTATTTTATTTGGGATTAACGCCATCTATCCACATTTCGAAACGTTAATTTGTTTGAATTATATGGTTTGTAACTCACAATGCCATCTATTGACATGAATATTTGTCAAATTTAGAAAATAATTTTAATTCATGAGGAATATTTGAATAATATTACGAGTAAAAAAACTGACTTATACCATTAAATTATTATATAATTCATATTAAAAAGGAATTAACTTGTATCCACGGTCATTTACATAATATAAACTACATCCTGGCTATTGATCAGCGCCATCCAGGTAAAAGACGGAATTTTTACTTTTTCAGAGTTACGATCTGTAGTACAGAGATTTGTAGTCCTTTTGACTTATTGGTCCATGCTTAGAGCGTTACTCTAAAGTTTAATATAAAGATACTAGGCCCATGGTCTTGCCGCGCAGAACAAAATGACCATCACTGCTAGCAAACGCAACGTAAACAGGTACACGTGTAAAGATTTTTAGAAGCAATAGAGCGCCTTGTAAAAGAGTTCGTCCAAGGAAGTACAGTCGTATTACCATGCCAATAGGTACCATAGGAAGTACAGTGCTGATGAAGTTACAGGCACATGGAACTTGTCAACTTATTTCTCAGGGTGACGGGCGCAGCGGCAGTGCCCCTAAGATTTTTGAAGCTCTGAGTGGCATTACAACTGTTATGGCTTGGAGTGTCGCTTACCACCAGGCACACGACTTGTTCGTCCCGTCACTTGGTATTATTAAAATATGATGAAAGCGTGATATCAATCGTATGTAGGCTGCGAAAGTCACTTTGCATCTGGTGAATAGTCTCACTGTTTGTCGATTAAATAGCTTTAAAAAGAATTCACTATTACTCTGACCAAATCTGAAATCTGAAAAAAAAAACCTCTGAAAAAAAAAACAGCTGTGCTAGCCATTCTCAGGAAAATTGTTGTTTCTCGATTTGAAAATCGAGAATAAGTATTACAAAAAAAGACTTAGGAGATTGTAACCAGGTCATGTAACAAAATAAAGCATTTCTTTCTTCGCTGACAACGTGAACTTTGATGTGAGAAGTCAACACTAGTGCCATTATTTGAAGGCGTAGAAACATTTTAACTGCCTCCGTGGCCGAACGGTTACCATGCCGGACTGTCACGCAGAGGTCCCAGGTTCGATCCCCGGGGCGGGAGAAATATTTGTATGGCCTACATTTATTTCTTTCGTGAGTTTGGGTGTAATTTGTGGTTGTCTACGTGTGTGTCCATGGCACCCGCGACACAGGGTTTCCCTAGTGCGGGGCTATGTTGAGTGTGTACGTTATTATTATTATTTATTGTTACAGGGTCCGTTATAATTTTTTTTAAACCTTTTCCCTAATCGAGCCTTTTTCTTTATGTTTCCAGTTGCGACAGGCTTTCCATCTGGCCTATATCCTCTCTCCTCGAGACTTCTAGAGATCAAACTGGCTATAGCAGACGGGGCCAATGAAATTGACGTAGTGCTAGACCGTAGTTTAGTGCTCTCTGGCAAATGGGATGTCCTATTTGATGAAGTTCTTCAAATGCGAAGGGCTTGTGATGGTGCTCATATGAAAGTCATTTTAGGCGTTGGTGAACTGGGAACATATGATAATGTAAGTTTTGTATCGTTATTTAAAGGTCACCGACCTCGTGGTAGAAGTATATATGATAATAATTGTATCTTAATAGCTGTATAAACAATAAAATAAAATTTAAATCTGCCAAAGATTGATAGCAACAATTTTATGATTACAGCGGTCCGCATATTAGGCAAGCCTGTATCGTGGGGAAGTGTGATGTAATTATATTTCTAGTAGAATACACAAAGTAGATTATACATAAAATACCAACTCTTCCTATAATAAAACAAATATACAAAAATATTTTACTTTGTTCATAAATAGGTTTATAATAACTGCTGCAGATTTTTTTCATCCGCCCTTTCTAGTAATAATAAGCACCTACGACCCTTGTGAGTGAGCAAAGAAAGTCATCCTATTTCATTCACTCCCATCGCCGAAATGGCCCGCTTTGAAGAGAGTGGCGCGCTCAGTCACCACGGAACGGAGATCGCGCATTGTATCAAATACGTATGTCGTGATGTGAGTGACGGGGATAGCTATTGGAACGGAGGAACACCTACGTGATTTTGGAACGTCGTTCCTTCGGAACGAGTCTCGGTGATACTGTTTTTCGGCGGATCATCGTGACGTTATTTATCACCCACCTCTAATTCCATTGTGAGACGACGCCTGCGAGCGCCGCTGACCAATAAGAGAAGAGAGGTGAAAAATATAGAAGGTCATGGCGGCTTTGTGTGTGAAAAACTTGGTGTTCAAACTTGTAAAACAACTTTGCGTCATTTTTAGTGAATATACAGATTACTATAAGATCGGTGTTCTTTAATTCACATCCAAGAACCCGACATTGGTGACCCCGACGCTCAAGTTATAAAAAAAATGGTGGTTTTGTTACAAATGGAGTTTCGAGTTTAAAAAGTTGAAAAAGAATTGGCAGTATATAACTTCTTGGAGTTCTCTTGTGATTCTTGTGGCTTTAGACAACACTGTGGTTGATTTTGTTGAACAGTTATAATAAATCGACGTTGCTAGTGACAGAAGCAATACGAGCAATTTTCTACTGTGATTTTCAACGTTACTGTAAAGTTTTGAATTGCATCAAAGTCAAAGAAGATATTTTGGCAAAGTGCATTGTGAAGAGTGACATAGGCGACTGTTCAGGTGTCTCTGCTTCTGGTTGTGCCACTGAGACTTGGCCCTTGTGAGATCCAGCACGCAGGCCCGCTACTGCAAAGGCCCCTGTTGCTTTCATTGCGACGCCACCCGAGCGCGGCGCGCCGCTGTGATGCCGCCGCGCGAATATCGTCGCCAGAGTAACAGCTAAGATAAATTATATTTTACAAACTACTTAAATTAGTGAATTTTCTGCCTATTCTTCTGTTTGGACAATATTCCCACTGCTTGGAGAATTACATGTCTACTTAATTTTTTTTTTTGTTTATGTAAGTTTAAAACTGGTGTTCCATTTGCCTGTTTGATTGTGTATATTGCATACAACATCATTTTACAATTCACTGTCTTTAGTTTTACGGACTTTGTTAATAATTGTTTAATAATAGTTAAATATTAATAATAATTGGACATTAATTTGTGCATATTAGATTAGTCAAGGCGTTTATTAGTTAGTGTTAAGTTTAATTAATTATTTTGTGTTATCACTTAACACAGTGGAAATCTTTTGTTGGCTACTGTTGGTTCTCACTTATAAGTCACTCCAATTTTATTCCTTTTAAGTATTGGTTGAATATTTTTTTATTGAAAATGGAAGAATTACAGAATCTATTAGCGCAATTGCAATTGCAAATTGACGTGTTATCTAAAAGAAATCAAAATCGGAATGGTAATCATGACTTCCATGTTCTGGGGGTCTCCGTTAAGTTGTCTGAGTTTTGGCGCGACAAACCAACAATTTGGTTTGCGCAAGCAGAGGCACAATTTGAGATTGCAAATATTACACAGGATGCTACTAAATATGGATATATTTTGTCAAAAATAGATGCCTGTATGGCTGATGAAGTCGGAGACATCATTGCCAAACCACCTGAAAAAGATAAATATTTGTACCTAAATACGGAGCTTATTAAGTGTTTTTCGACTACAAGGGAACAGCTTGTCTGGCAGATGTTGAGTGATGAGCAGTTGGACGATCGGAAACCTTCTGTTTTTCATCGACACCTGCGTTTCTTGGCTGGTACTGACGTTGGTGATGATATTGCCCGAACTTTGAATGCGCCGGCTCCCTACTGAAGTGCAACGGATTGTAATGGCACAAATGGAACTTACCTTTACAGAAGGTGGCCGAAATTGCCGACACTATAGTGGACACCCTCCCATCATCTACACCCTTTGTGGTGAACGAAACTAAAGCTAGGCCGTCAACGGATTTGTCTGCTATATTGCACTCCAGTGAAGAGCAAAATAAAAAGTCGACGCCCTCAGCAACGACCGCGCACGCTCTTCTACGCCTAACAGGCGTTCCCAGTCTAGATCCTCGTCGAGGTCAACATTCCGCCCTCGCTCTGGGCCGCGGCTATGTTGATATCATAAGAGGTTTGCCAGTAATGCGAGCCATTGAAACAGCCCATGTGATTGGAAACCCGACCAGCAGGGAAACGGGAAGAACGATCAGTGAAGGCGGCATCTGATTGCAGCAAGGGGTTGCACGGCCGGGGGACCGCATTTGTTTGTTACAGACTACAACCGGCCGTCGATTTTTGATTGACACTGGCTCAGATATTTGCTACTTCTCGCGACGCCTCCTCAAGGGCTCTTACAGTTCTACGGAATTTGACCTTCGCGCCGCTAATGGAAGTGCTATAAAAACGTATGGCACTAACACACTTTGCCTTAATTTAGGTTTACGCCGGGAACTCAGGCGGAATTTTGTCATTGCGGATGTAGCTTCTGCTATAATTGGATCCGACTTCTTGGCCCATTTTCACCTCTTACCCGATTGTCACCAGCAACGTTTGGTAGACGGCAGTACAAAACTGTCTGTGCATGCTACTTTGGCTAATATAGACCAAGTCAGCGTCAAGACTATATTATCTGATTGCGACTCACCTTGGACAAAAATTCTCCAGGAGTTTCCTGTGCTGACGAGACCACCTGGTGTTTCTAGGGAAATAAAACATTCGACAGTGTTCTGTCGAATGTTTTACTTCCCTAGATGGTAATGTAATGTTTTACATTATCACTACAGATGGTCCTCCTGTATCTTGTCGCCCTCGCCGTCTCGCACCACAAAAGTTGCTAGCTGCGAAAAAGGAGTTTACTGATATGATTCAGTCTGGGACTGCACGGCCCTCAAGCAGCCATTGGGCTTCGCCTTTGCACATGGCAAGGAAAGGAGAAAATGGCTGGCGCCCTTGCGGGGACTACCGCGCCCTGAACGCCAGAACTATTCCTGATCGATGTCCCGTCCGATCCATCCCATCATATTGCAGATTTTTCCCACAGCCTCGCAGGTTACACCATTTTCAGTACTATCGACTTAGTGAAAGCGTACCAACAGATACCCGTCCACGAAGGTGATATTTGCAAAACGGCAATCACGACACCTTTCGGACTGTCTGAGTTTGCTTTCATGACTTTCGGGCTCCGAAACGCTGGACAGACGTTCCAGCGTTACATGGATGAGGTCGTGAACGGACTCGAATTCTGGTATCCCTACGTGGACGATATCCTGGTGTTTTCCCGGACTCCAGAAGAGCACGCCCAACATTTGCGTGCCCTCTTCCAGCGTTTGTCCGATTATGACGTGGTTGTGAACCCATCCATATGCGTCCTTGGATTGGAAGAAGTAACCTTCCTGGGCTACCGTATTTCCAAAAACGGTACCTGCCCACCACCGGAGAGAATTTCAGCGCTGCGCGAGTTCCCATTGCCCAAGACCATCGAAGGCCTTCGAAGATTTCTGGGCATGGTAATTGTTTATCGCCGCTTCATCCCCAAGGCTGTAAAACAACAGGCCCCACTGAATGACATTCTGGCCTCATCGCAGCTCCAAGGCGCCAAACCGGTTCCGTGGACCCCTGAATCGACTCTTGCCTTTCAGAGCTGCAAAGAGCAACTCGCTGATGCAACATCTCTAGCCCACCCGGTGCCCGACGCGAAACTTGGGTTATTCACAGATGCTTCGTCCAGTCATGTCGATGCATGCTTACAACAACTTTGTGACAACCACTGGCAGCCCCTTGCTTTCTTTAGTAAAAAACTTACTCCCCGCCAAAACCATCTGGCCGGCTTATTACAGAGAGCTTCTGGCGGTGTACGAATCTGTCCAACATTTCCGACATATACTCGAAGCTCAGCGTGTAACAATCTTTATGGATCATAAGCCATTAATCTACGCGTTTTCTCAGCGGCGTGAAAAACTGCCTCCTGTACAGCTCAATCAGCTGTCGTTTATCTCGCAGTTTACTACTGATGTCGTGCATGTCCAAGGCAATGATAATGTCGTGGCTGACGGGATGTCACGCGTGGAGGCCATCCGCATTGAAGAACAGTACGCTGATCTTGCAAGAAGAGCAAGCAAACGATCAGGAACTCCAGAAAATGATGTCCGACTCGTCATTAAAATTGCAAAAACTTAACTTACCTGGCACTGACGTCAACATTTTCTGTGATTTTTCCACTGGTAAAGCACGCCCGTATTTAACACCGTCATTTCGCCGCGCTGTTTTCGAGAGATTACACAATCTCAGTCACTCAGGCGCGCGAGTGTCTGAACGATTTGTGTGACCAGGCATTCAAAAAGATTGTCGCATCTGGGCCTGTACGTGTATGGCTTGACAACGATGCAAGGTCATACGGCACGCGGCTTTCCTCTCGGTCATTTCCCCAGTCCTACAAAACATTTTCGTCATATCCACTTGGACATTATTGGCCCTCTCCCGCACAGCAAAGGTTACCAGTACTGCCTTACTGCTGTGGACCTCTTTACACGGTGGCCTGAAGCCTGGCCTATGGTGGGTATAACGGCGGAAGAAGTTGCTGAGACTTTCTTCAGAGAATGGATAGCCCGTTTTGGTGTACCGTCTCTGGTGACGACCGACCAGGGCCGACAAATTGAAGCAGCTCTTTTCCAGACCCTCATGAAACTTTGCTCTGCCAAACGTATCCGCACCACGAGCTACCATCCGCGTGCGAATTGCCTAGTCGAGCGAATGCATCGACAGCTCAAAGCTGCTCTGATGTGCCATCAAGATGCCTAGCACAAGGTCTTACCGTACTCCTTGCCATGCGTGCAGCTTTGAAAGAGGATTTGCAGACTTCATCCGCCGAGATGGTGTACGGGGAACCCCTGTGCTTACCCGGTGAGTTCACTGCGAACCCTTCACCTAGCTCTATCGCCGAAGATGTCACTAGCTTGGCTACCCAGCTGAGACATTACATGGCTCAATTACGACTTACTCCGGCTTTGCGTCACGGTCAACGTTCCACGTTCGTTTTTAAAGACTTGAATTCGTCTTCCCATGTTTTTTTACGCGACGACACAGTTAGAACGTTTTTGAAGCCACCCTATACCGGACCGTATAAGGTGATTGTCAGAAAAGATAAAACTATCACAATCGCCGTGGGTAATCGAGAAGTTTGCGTGAGCTTGGACCGAGTTAAACCAGCTTATATCGATGCTGAAGCTCCGAAGCCATCAACTGTTGGCGGTCCAGCTACTACCAATCTGCTGGTTAATTCTTCGGCGCGTTCTCAAGTTGTGACTCCCGCTTCGATACCTTCCGATTTTCTTGCTAAAAAACCTAACACACTACGCGTTCCGGTCGAAAAGTACGATTTAAGACTCCCTTCGACCTTTAGCCTGCCCTGTGTGATTCTTTCAGTTTCTTTTCGGTGGGGTTCATTTACTTCATGGGGGGTGGTGTGGCGAACCACATTTAAATTCGCACGCCCTCAAGTTCATTCCATTGTGAGACGTCGCCTGCGAGCCCCGCTGACCAATAAGAGAAGAGAGGTAAAAAATATAGAAGGTCATGAAGGCTCCGTGTGTGAAAAATTTGGTGTTCAAACTTGTAAAACAATTTTGCGAATTTTTAGTGAATATACAGATTACTATAAGATCGGAGTTCTTTAATTCACATCCAAGAACCCGACAAACTAATCGTTTTATAACAATAAGTTCACCATGCTGCTATAACATGCAAACAATTAAATGAATCGTAAGTCAAGCCAAGCAACCAGTACTTTAACTTAACTATGTTGAGTGTGTGCGTTATTATTAACTTCGAACAATTTTGTGTCACTTGATTTGAGGCCGTTGTTGTACAAGTTGGCAGATATACAGGATGTAACCGTTAAGTGTGCCCAGGCGATTATTCCATAAATATAAGAGATATCAAAAAGCTTAAACTGATATTGAAAGTACGTTATCTAAAGAATAAATCGACATCAATAACTTTGTAAAAATAAAACTAGAAATATACAAAATTTTAACATCAAACGCTCCCATACATTTGATATGACATTCGTAGAGAAGCTTTACTTTTCCTACTGTAAGAGGTAACATTAAATTAAAAGATGACAAAACTGACACAATTAAAGTAATAAAACTGTCTTTTAATTGAATGAAAATATAATAGCATAGTCAATTATTTGGTCAAGTGTTGTCTATACACATTAACAAAATTGATCAAATTTTGTTTAGTACTGATCGACTCAACTTCATATAAGGATCATTTCATTGTATATGACGAAAAAAATCGGGACCCGAGGAGAAGCGGGAAAAACTTGTTTTGCTAGATCAAATGGTTTAGGAATTTACTATTAAATAAAGGCCTTACGAAAAATATACGATACACCTAAGAATATTGTCTAAAGAATGTTCTAATTTGTTACATGATAGGAAGTACTTTACCCGATCATATAAAATCCCGAAAACAGACTAAAATGAATTATTTAAGAACGATTACCTTACTGTTGTACAAAAAATGCACTTTGCAAATAATTTCTCTTAAGGACTACAGATAACCTGCTAAATTTTGTGTTTCAGCTGAAGAAAGCCTATAGTTATTAAATTCACATTTATCCGAAAATTTGATTTTTTGAAATTTTGATTTGATTGATATTGTTGGTGTGTTGTTATGCCAAGGGAAATCTAAACAACCTTTTCAATCGTAGCTTTTAAATTAATACAGTACACATATTACGGTGTAGTAACCGATGCTTTTTTTTTTTTTTTTTTTTTACGGGGGGAAATCTTTATGGATACCTTTTATGTTTTATTATGTGGGGACTCTCCCTCCAGACTGGAGGGCCTAGCCCACTAAAACCGCCCCGGGTTTCCCTCTCACCGGTTGAGTCGGCGCCGTGGGATCAGTGAACATTCACCACGACGCCGCCCGGGAAAGTAACCGATGCCTGCAACATAGTTTCATAGACAAACGTTAAAAGTAAAATCTGTTGTCAGGTGTACAAAGCGTCAATGGTGTCAATGTTAGCGGGAGCTGATTTCATCAAGACTTCGACAGGGAAAGAAGCAGTCAACGCTACGTTGCCGATCGGGCTCGTCATGTGCAGAGCCATTAGAAAATACTATCAGATGACTGGTTTCAAAGTAAGTAAATCAAGAAATAAAGGGGTATTGATGTTTGTACTTCAATCACACCGTCACGAGATTTTTTGGATGACCTGCATTATCGTATTGACTACTATTACAATTTTGTCTATGTAGGTCATTTCATTTGTCATTCGTTTCCAATCACAATGTCATTGATTTTAAGGTAGGTCTATAAGGTCTATGTAAGTTTACTTACCATATGTTACGCCATTGTGAGAGAGCTGAACCTGTGGTAGGGTACCCTTTGTTACGGTACTCCGACCCCCCTCTTCCCCCACACATTCGGCCTTAGTCTATAAATAGATGTAATACGATAATGTAAAACTAATATACAGTGTGATTTTTTATCTGGGACAATATGGAGATACCCGAAACCATAGGAGGTACAGAAAAACTTTCTAGAAAGCATTGATCTTTTTAGTGAAAAGGAACTACATTTTTTGGTCAAGCGTGATTTACCCATAAAACTGTATAATATTGCCTTTTTTAAATGCTGATCGACTGAGTTTCTTATAAGGATCGTTTCATTGTACCTATCGGAAAAAACATCGGGACAGCAGAAGTGGGTCAAATTTAATAAAATGTTTTCTCATACAACAGGAAAATAATCGTATTCCTCCATTATTAAGTTCTTGGATTATAATGCATCTCCTACGCTGTGGGTATTCCCCATACTGCCCCAGTTAAAAAAATACACTGTACTTTATAATAATTGAAAAACGAATGAAAAATTAATAATAAAGTAAAAAAGATAAAAAAATGCAATGTTTGTCTGAGGAATGCAGAATTGGTACAAGAGTGACATAAAATTAAGAGATCTCTTTATTTCGTTGACGATTCTTTAAACAAATTTTCAATTCAACTTGTCAACACGAATTGACTATAAAATGTATACGCATCATTATTTATGAACATTGGCGAAGTCAGTATACTGGGTAACACAAGAAAAGAAAATCTGTGGCAAATATTTAATCCAATATTTCATTTAGAGTTACCAGCATTGATATTTTACTAGGTAAGTATCATTTTTATCCGAAACAGAGCTAGAAAGAGCTAAATTAATTATGTTTTTTCAGCTCCAGTGTTGTCATTTAAAAGTTTGACAAGCAACCTATAGGTAACGCAACTATAGTACTTCGTTATTTTTACATCTCCGTGTCGCTGCTTCAAATAACAAAATAAACAGCCGCAGTGATAGTTGCTACCGTTGCTGAAAAATGTCATCCTGTTCCGATTTCATAGATAATGGACCAATTAGCCACTACAAACATAATAAGCAGAAAGTATTTTTGTATAATATTAAACGACAAAACGAACAAATGGTCCGCCCGACATGACATGACTACCCATGACTACTGCAGTGCCACTCAGAGCTTTAAATCTCAAAGACTAAGGGGCACTGCCACTGCACCCGTCACCCTGAGACATACGAGTATGTTGACAAATCCCATGTGCCTGTATTTCATAGTACCTTAACTATCAAAACGGGACCGCAGTAATGCTCACATTACTGGTTGATGGCAGATACAGGTAACATGACAGTACTTCCCTGGACTAACTCTTTCACAAGAAGTTCGACTGCTATGTACGTATTAGTGAAGATGTATAGCTCTATGTTTGTAATTTTTTTTAATAGGAAATTTAGAAGAAAATAAAACGCATAGAACTGGTTTTATTGTTACCTCATAAAACGTTTTTTTTTTTTAATAAAATTCTATTCTATTTCCTTAATGGCTGCCAATAGGCTTGGGCCAGTTTCAGTTTCGATTAACGTTGTCAGTTAATATTGTTCAATAACGTCAAAAGTTTCGGTAGCGGCAAGGTATTTATTTTTAGATGAGTCTCTTCGACGGATTAAAAAATTCTATTAAATCCAAGACACGCAGTTATGTCAATCTGACAGCTGATTTGGCGGCAATGTACAATGCAAAGGCACGCATAATATACAGCCTAGGGTTTTTATTTTGTAATCACTTTCGTTCACGTGATCGCTTTCTTAAGCATGTTTTTTTTACTATACTTACCGTAACCAATTACTGTACTTTGATCAACTAGTATAGCCCCTCAACGCATTTTATAACATATTTAAAATGTACCTTAATTGTTAAGAATTGAGTCTCAAAATCGTGTGTTAATGTATCGAATTTTGGTGAACAGGTGGGGCTAAAACCAGCAGGCGGTATAAAGACAGCTCAAGACGCCGTCAACTGGCTGATTCTCGTTCACAGCGAACTGGGTCCTGAGTGGCTCTCTCCAAAGTTATTCCGCATCGGTGCTTCCAGTTTACTCGATGTAATTGAAGATCATTTGCTCAAAAATGACACTAAGCTCGTTTAGAAAAACAGCAATGAATAGTTAAGGCATATTTTGTTGTGTATTTTGGTTATACGTAAAGTAATAGATCAGTGAATAAATTTAATTCACAAACAGGAATTTAATCGATAAAATAATTGTCGAAAATGCATTGATATTGTTATTCTACAAGTAGCTAATATATATTTCTATAATAATTGTATATGTAACATTTAAAAAAAAGTTACGTGGTGAACCACATACCATACTGTCACTTTTTTTCACTGCAAATTTCAACAAACCATTTTGACAGATCTATTTTTTTCTTATTTAAAAGTTTTATAAATATAGTCAGTTAAAAAAAATACTTACTATTTTTATACCATGATTGATCGTTCAACGCAATATCACTTTATCACTTATTGCGTAAATATAAAATAATTATGTAACCTTTTTATGTTTTTCGTTTCGAGTATCTGTTCTTATAAATTAGTCGTACAATATACCAATGTTTTGTTTATTAATTTTATAGACCAATTAATCATTCATAATCATTAATATTTTTTATAAACTTTTAAAATAAAAACCAAAAGCTATTTTATATTTTATTTTAATTAATACTGTCGTTAAATTATAAGCACTTTCACCTGTATTTTTCTTAAAACAAACTTATTTCATGAAACAGACATATATATATATGTGTGTGTGAACGACGTAACGTGTAAAAAAATATAAAAAATCTTATTCATAAGTATGACACTGTTACCAAAACAAATACATTCCTAGTTTCATATAATTATAAAAATATTCTAACGACACAGTCGCTAAAACATTTAAATCTTCGATTTTATTAATAAAATACTTAATGTCTAATACATTCTTTTCTTCAACAATTTTTCAATTTTTCGTTCCCATAAATCCTTTGACATAGCACACTGCCCCATCGCACAGTAAACATCGATTCTAAATTCGTAAACAAAAATATCACAATCAGAAATTCGACATGGAAAATCAATTTAATTTGCGATATTCTCATGACCAACATGTACACTTTTTAATGGGATAATATGTATGATAATGCTCAATGAGGTGTTACATTTTCCTTCCGTTCGAAATTATGAAGCCATTAATTTCTTTGATAATTATCATGATAATTAACCGATAAATATTCGATGATTCATACTTTTGTCTCTTTAATTTTTGGCTAAAAATGGTGCAACAGTGAGAAAACTAAATAGATACGAAAAATAATCATTAGGAAAATGATTTGGTTTTACTTTTTTGAGATTAACATTTGACGCGTTGCGATACGTCTCAGAAACACACACATCGCACGACATTGCAAGTGGTATTACTTTGTTGCTCCATTTAATTGTATAAATATGAAGATAATTAACAAGGTATATTCAAGATAGTTATCGTGATAAAATCATGACAATTATCAAAGATAATTATCACTTCGAACCCTGCCTACCGGCCCACTTATCTTAAAATCATGTTATACAGTTCGTGGTAAACAATGGAAAACGTATTTACAAATGAAAACTAAATTACTATGTATGTATGTATGTACATTGAACGCTTCTAAACATATTGAACCTATTATAGCAAGCACGCGCCGCCATATTTGAACTTTTGTTTAATAATGCATGAAATTAAGGAGATCTGCTTATTTTTAAGAGCATTATAATGACGTTACCACATTATGATGATAGCAGTGTTATAGAAGTTATTATATATATATATAAAGTTCTCTCCAGTTCTTAATTCAGTGGGATTTTGAGGTTGCCAATACAGTAACTAGGTACTTATTCTTGAAAATGAAACTACTTTTTCGGATGTAAGTCGCGTATATTTGTTTTTTCAAACAAACCAATGTTTCGGGCCCTTTACAAGTCTCACGGCCACGGCCGAAAGTTGCCTTGTTTGAAAAAACAAAAATATGCGATTTGGTCCGAAAAAATCACGTAACAATCGTGAAAACCTAAAAACTTGATTTATTTTTACTTACTAATAATTATTATTAGCACGTAAGTTTCGTATATTTTTTAACAAACTCAATACTAAGGCGATCTCGCACCTAATTCACTTGCTATATTTATGGCCTTGAAGACACCAGTTTATTCATCATTCTTTCTCAATGGGTGCATCAGCATGGAATCCTGTCTGTGGATCAGCGCCATAGTTCACCACTCGGAGTTTCCCGTACTTGTCCATGTATCCGTAGTGTCCTTTTACGTGACCATCGTTGTCCCGTTCCTCGTATCTGAACTGACGGTTTTTCCTGTGAAATTACTCAGTGTTGGCAGACTATTTTGATACTTTAAATTATCTTTCTAAACATATCTGTACGTTTCAAACAAGGCAATTCCTTACACTATGAGTACCAGTTCCGGGGCACTTTTGAGAATAACCAGACCAGACCCAATGTGACAAGTTCGTTTAGAATAGAATATAATATTAATTTATTGAAACCATAGTATTATACAGTTGTTATAAGTAAATAATAATATCACAGACTGACAGGGTGTAACAAATTGTACTCAAATCTTGTTTGTGTTATAATAAATAACATTTACTGCTTCCGTGGCCGAACGGTCACCATGCTGGACTGCCACGCAGACGTCCCGGGTTCGATTCCCGGGCTGGGAGAAATATTTGTATGTCTCCATTTATTTCACACGTGAGTTTGGGTGTAATTTGTGGTTATGAATATGTGCGTTAAAAAACATGTAATATTTATTCCAAAGTACAATAATTATCTCTTTAAAAAGACTCGGGATATTCATAATAGAAATAGCAGAAATCTAGACAGGTTAGTGTAGTATTAGCAAATGAAGTTATTACTAGAAAAAATGCGGGGCTATGTGTGTAAACAACATGTAAAGATATATAACACCCATACGCCTTACCGGTAAACTTAAAATTGATAAATAATAATGTTGTTAAATATGTTCATACGTAAGCTAATGTCATGGCTAAGCGACAAAAATTTTTACTCCAATAAAGACTTATTTTCATACAAATTTCAACAAATCTGACTACGTACTTTAATTTTAATTATATTTTAATTTAATTTGTTTTGACCAAAGAGAAAGAAAACTTTACTTATTCATTAATTTTTTTTTACATCTTCATGACGTGACATGATAATGGCTTGCTATGATAGTAATATGTTGATATTTAATTAAATCTATTTGATCCGAAAGAAAAAAAAATCATTTGCTTACTAATTTTTATTTATGTCTTCATGACATACCAATAACTTAGTATTATAATAAACGCAAAATAGGCGCCTCGACGTCGAATTGCGGAAACCAGCCCATTGCACCAATACCAATAACAATTATAATAAACGTTAATAACTCTGTTCTACTATTAGAATTGCTTTAAAATGGTTAAATTATAAAATGCAGATGACCATATTATATTATTTGTATGCCAATTTAAGGTTAAGTATGAGGATAATCCTATTATACATATATTATTATGTGTAACATCTTTTGTAAACCATTTTTATTTCCGCATTTACCACTGAGTATAGAACCCTGAGGGGTACTGAAATTGACAAGTTCCATGTACCTATAATTTCACTACCACCTCTTATTTTCACCTGTAAACTCGCCTATTTAAGCATAAAAAGTTATGGTCTTATTTATTCTCTTCAGATTTTTTATTGTAGATTAAAGAAGCCAGTCTCGTGGATAACGTAATCATGTTACCATTTCGTTTAAATCTATTTATAATTTTATTTTAATTCAAATATTTATCTTACCCTTTGCCTGTATCAAATCCGAACTGGTAACTGTGAGGTCCCTTCATGCCATGCATACGGAACTCTGTTCGATCGCCAGGAGCTGGAGGTGCTGAAATGTCGGTTTCTGCACTGTGCTGTTCCTGTTCCGGTAGAGAAGCTGGACGTCGGAATTTGGCTACTCTTAGCCGCACTGGGTGTCCATGTGTCACTTGGTGCGGGTAAACGTGCCGTACAGGCACATGCAACGCGTTAACTGAAAAACATAATTGTCATTGATCGAAAGTTTTCTCGAAAGCAAGTACGTTTTTTTTATTTTAAATCGAGAAGACTAAAATAATACGAAGTCTTGTAACTGGTCTCGGTTTGTGTGATTCAACTGTGACTAAAACATTTTCAACATACGTGAGGTACATACTACCAGAATGTCCGTAGTTTGTTTCCGAAGTTTCTTGCTCTGCCGGCGCAATAATGCCATGTGCGTCCTCTGCCGCAATAGCAGGCTGCTGTTGAAAAACAATTTATGTGCACTCTTACAACACTGAAACATACCTATGTAGGAGTAAATATATATATATTATAATATCAAGTGTGACGGGACGAACAAGTCGTGCGCCTGATGGAAAGCTACACGCCTGTCCATAACAGTTGCAGTGCCACTCAGACCTTTGAATCGCAAAGATCCGAGGGGCACTGCCACTGCGTCCGTCATCCTGAGACAAGTTGACAAGTCCCATGTGCCTGTAATTTCACTATATATATATATATATACCCTATATTATTATATATACACTAACCTTGACCTCATTTTCACCCTTCGATTTGCGTTTCTGCTCTATTTGTTCGTAAAGGTAACGCTTTTTCTCATCGGAAGGTGTAAAATATTCACTTTCATCGCTCGGAATAGGCTTAAGCGGCCTTTCTGGCTTAGCTCGAGGAACGTCGGGAGGCGAATCTTCTACGAACTGTGAAATCGGGATCAGTATTGGGTGGAAACCTTTAGTAACCTTTTTAGGATATATTTTAGTTGGCTTCTTGAACTTCTGTTGACTGAGTATCGGAGGCATTAGATGTAGGGCCGGTGTGGGTTCCCCGAAGGGTTTGATTTTAATGACTGGCTTCTTAGGACTCTTACGAATAGGAACTTCAAGTTTTACGGGCGCAGGAATATAGAATTGTTCATCTATTTCCGCAGATGGCACCTCTAACTCTTCAGGCAGCGTATTAACTATGTAATCATTGGGTGCATTCTCCAATGGAGGTTCCAGTTGTCTTGACGGAACGGGAACAATATATGGATCACCTGAGTACGTTTTTCCGCCTCTTGGATTTTGTGGTATCTCGAATGTTTGGTTATCCGTAAGTACAACGGGCATTACGTCATTTGGTGCCTTAGGAAGCAAATTGACCTGCAAGCTCTGGACCGGAACTGGAGCTATTGGATACCAGTCAGTTTGTTTACCCTCTTCCTCAGGGGCATAATAATCGATTTGTTTTTCTGGAGACGGTGGCAGAAAATGCGTCGCCGGCGTAATGATAAAATCTGGCAGAACTTCCTCAAGTCTGTGAGGATCAGGGGGAATTAAATAGCTATCAATATTTGGTTGATCTGTAACGTACAAAACGTCCTGCTTTTTTTCGGCGACCGGTGATTCACTAGGTGTAACTAGTAACTTTGTTGAAGTTTCCGTTTCTTTTTGGTCATTCCCGTTGACTGGTACTTTTATTGCCAAAGTAGAAAGTGCCAGCGGCAGTACCTGGAATAAATGAATACTTTTTGATAAAAATGTACATCAATTACAAAGAACATGTCGCGATAATAAAAAGCGACACACATCGCTAAGTTTCCGATATTTGCCGACAGCTAATAAAAACTGTTCACAACAATAGCTATTGCTTAACCAGTCGTTAAATGACGTGTCTACAAAAAGAAAAAAATGCGTTTCTATTACATCAACCCACGTAATCTTCAATTAAAGCAAACTGTGCCACAATAATAGAAAAAGAGTAACCAAAGGGAGCAAAAAATTATAACGCTAACGTAGACAACGAACAGACGAGGTACATTTAACGAAACATGAAATTTCTGATGCGGTAACATTTTATTTGAATAATTTTTTGCTCAGATAGGTACATACATCGCCGTACAGTTAACAAACGGACGAGTACATAAATTTGTCTGTTCTGCGGTAAAGATTATTTTACAATTTTTATAAGGAAACAAAAGTGAACAAACGACATAAGGCAACTAAAGTGCGAATCTAGTTTCATCATAAACGAAAGCTGCTTTAAATACCTTGTTTAGTAATATCCGCGCTAAGTGCGGATTACCGAGCCAAATATTTTTTTTTGCGTACCGATGTAACTTACGTTTAAAAGATTACGTAGTGACCATATTATTAACTTTACGCGGTAGTTAATCGTGCGTAGCCAATAAAACAATAAAAACGGCAGTGTTTTTCTTATGAGTTCTCTACATGTAACCATAACACTTTCGAGCGAAATTTTCAATTTGGTTTGCTTTGTAAAAGTTACAAATATTTGGTTGCGTAGGTATAACGTTTCATAAACCGCGGCTACAACAATTCGGCATCGGCTGCATGCCGCAAAGTACTTTTATTGAATTCAAAACTGGATAACACAATACTCATTGAACGAATCAACATTGTCACGCTTACAGTAAGATTTCTATAGATGTCAAAATATAAAGCAAAATTAATAGTCACGGCTTTAATTTACTATATTTCTATTGTCAATTTGGGAGACCACGTTCATAAAACGCTCTAGTTCTAGTTATAATAAAACCGTTTCATTTAAACCTAGGTTTTAAATCTACTGTATTGGAACGCAACAAACAAATCAAAATGAAGTATAGCTGTAGTAATTCTAAGTAGGTGTTCATCGTTTTCTTGTGTTATTACTTTTTAACCGACTTCAAGAAGGAGGAGGTTCGCAATTCGACTGAATGTTTTTTTGTACGTATCTATGTTACACGATAACTCCGGATTTGTGACCAGATTTCGATTATTCTTTTTTTGTTGGAAAGACGGTACCTTAGCAGTAGTTCCATTTAAAGTTTGAAGAATATATTTCACCTCTAAGGGTGGCAAACTAGGGGATTAATCCGGTTTCGCGCACTTTCCGGTAACCGATTTCAATAAAACTTCGCAAATAGATGTAATTCTACGAACTTTTGAGGTCGATTTTTTTGCCAGTACCAAGTTCTGAGTCGTACTTAAATGAGTTAATGACAAAGAAAGCAGATCTGATTAAGATTCAGTGCTTACAGTATAGTATAATTCTTCTAGTTTCTGATTCTGGAAAATTCTGTGACACGAAACTCATTGAAACCCTAATGTTGCCTTTATCCTTTGCTTAGTATTCGTTTAAACGAGCTTATTTATGGGTAACGACCACGGAATTTTAGTCAAAATTTAAAAAAATACAAAATACTTTCTACTGTAGCGTGTATGGATGTCAACAGTTTAATGTAGGTACATAGTATTAGGCTAACTCTAGTTACCTAACTTGTAAGTTTGTCGAAGTAATTAATTCACTTTCCCAGGCCAAAACGTACCTTATGTACGTACAACAAAAAATTGCGCAACATCCAATATTTTTTTATATAAAGACATTGAGCAAAAAGAAAACTGGTTCAGTATTGTGAGGAAATGAAGCGTGTACTACGGAAGCGGTCATTTTTGCTTGTTTTTCTGTCTCCCAACCGATGCCGCAAGCCGTCGAGACAAAAACATGATATTTTTTTCATTTTAATAATCTTGACCTATAATTATATGGTTTTAAGGTCTATTCAAGTTCAGCGAGGCTAGTGTGTTGAGACAGCGAAAAGAAATAATTAATTTGAACAAACATTGAAACACTAAGAAATATTCATTCGATCGGGCTGGATTCGGACCAACACCCTAAAGCAATCCGTGTCAGATGCTCTGCCAATTAAGCCACGGAACGAAAAAAAAAAATACATAACTGTCTACATTTATATTCATTTTGTGATATTATTTCTAACTAATATCACAAAATGACTAACTCTAATATTTATACATGTTTTATGAAATTAATTTCACATTTTAACGTATATATTATGTAAGTAACGTCATTACTTCTTGTACTGTGTCAATAATCTGTTCGTTCAGACATATTTTGTGCGTTTTTAAGGACATAATTGTCAATCTGTCACGGCTACTATGTTCCGTGTCACGTGTGTTCTGTTGCCGGATCCGATCTGAAATCCTGAAAATCAACCTCCTGAAAACCTGAAAATCAGCGTCGTAGCACCATAAGTGAGACGACAATAAGCTGAGTGGGTCACGGATTCCTTGGCAGCACAGCACACACGCGTTGTACTCTTCTATATATTTGTAGTTAGTACTATTTTTATTGTTATTATTACAAAATGCATGTGTACTGTGTTGTCTACTTAAGGAATAAATGTTTTCTATTCTATTCTATTCTAACCAGCAGACCTTTCGAACTTTTCGATGTTTGTTGCAGACCTTGTTCGCACGGATTGCCTGAGGGTGCTGGTTAAAATCCAGCCGGATCAACTGTTTTTTTCTTACTGTTTCGATGTTTGGTATTTTTATTTATTTATTTATTTGAGATAGGCAACTTCTGGCCCATATAATATATAACTTTAGAAGTAACATAAATATGATAATATAAAAACGAAATAACTAATCTACACGAATTGCACTAGTCGGCGGCTGCGGCGCAATTTGGTATCAGGTAATACGGATACACCGATCAACTCCCCTCCCTCTCCCCATCGGCCAAAACTCCTTCATGTATATCGACAGATGTTCGGTCGGCACTGTGGTCAGTACTTTCACCACAAACGAATTAAAATTGACGTTATGGCGGGACGCCAACCGCTTGACTCTCAGGGCGTATTTAGCTTTTAGCTTGATGTACCTATATTCTACTATCTCCTCAGACTTCATGAAGTAATGCAGTATGCGTAGTCGGTATGGCCTTTTTAGAGGACCACTGATACCTACTAGATAGGGGATTTTTAGGGGACCACTGATAGCTTTTTAAGCTTGTTTTATACTCTCCCTCTCTTTTTCTCCCTCTCTCTCTTTTTCTCTCTCTGCCACCTTGAAGCGTACAAATATTACCAGTTTAAGTTTATAGAAAATATCCCAAAATATTGTTAATAGGAATCCATACACTGGGGCTAGTTTTAGACAGAGAGTCTCATTACGTGTTCTTTGTATAAGAACTTGAGACCCTAAACATGATAATGAAATATAGGTTAAGGTACTACTACCTTACACTCCATAGGCGTATTTTGTTTGGCTTTATGTGTTGCTGCACTAGTATGTCTACTAATAATAGTCACTATATAGAAGAAAGTGCGTTTTTTATTATCGGACAATTACATACAAAAATCTAAAATGAAGTAAGAAAGAATATTTGTACAATAAGAACGATAATTCAATCAATATTGACGTGAAATAATACTGATTTGTATTTTAAATCAGTGCATTAAAGCAGTAAATTGTAATATTTTAAATCTGTTAGGCAAACATCAAACACCACGTGACGTCGAAGCAAAGAAACGTCACCTTATTTACCATTGGCGTATTATCTTGTATTTTTTCTACTTTTAATCATTTTTAAACTAAAAACCCGGAACAATTTTGGTTTGGGGACAGTCCTCAATCAATACATAAAATTCTCGCTAACCGTAAGCGTAAATTGCCAAATTTGTTTGGCTACCAATGACGTCACGCGTTCTGAGTATCAACGTTGTGATGTTGTAGCGGTAATTTTTTTTATTACATTCAAAACATAGTTTTAGGGTTTTCTAAAAATTTATGTAAATGAACAAATATTTGTCTTGGCTGTATATCCATTAGATAAGGTCAATTTGAAATACTTTCGAAAGTAGTCTAATTCCCTATTGTATAGAACCATAGTATAAGACAAGTAACTCCATGCAAACATAACAGCGCGGTTTGTTTAGGTGCACGTCCGCCAAGCGCTAGTACGTATGCACACATTCATATAATCTTATGGTGCACTCGAGTTGCCCTGCGCGGGTTGCGCTCACGGTCCGCCGCCGATATTCATAGAATCTTTGTCTTGCATAAACTTACGGTTAGGACAATTTACAATCTGGGCCCTAGAGCGTCTTTGAGACTTAAGTTTAAAGAGATAATATTAACATTCTTACAAATAACATTATTAAAATATTATTCATGTTAAGAAAAGTAATTTTTTTTTAATGAAAAATAGTGAAAGATTAATTACATTTTGTACTGTTTTATTATGTTCCTCTTATTAATGTTATGACATTAATACGAGGAACAAAATAAAACTAGCTGTTACTGACAATAGTCTTGACAAAGTCGCAAGGGACAATGTTTTTTAAGATTAACGGGATAATCTGTACTGTCATTATTCGAATATTTTATTTTACGGTAAACACCGTTACTGTGCACGAAACTAGCCCTTTCGTTCGTTTCGACAGTGACTGAAGACTGTTTCACGCATACACACCAGAACCTCGCCCTGTTACTATATCTGTCACGTTACGGCTAGGGCGCGTTTATTCGACACGAATTTAATCGCACTCACGCCGCGACCGCACGGAGACCGCGTGCATCAAACTGTCATGGCAAAACACGCTCTATTTGTTTAGCTTTTACGTTTTAACTTAAATGAGCGTCTCGGGCGTGCGGGCGAAACTGGCTGGGTCTACGCGGCGGGCGGATGAGTGACGTCCGCACGG